GCTTTATGTTGTAGATTTGTTGAAGTTATATTTTGCAATACAGTTTGATTTCTTTAAGAAATTGTAGGATATTAAATGGCCTAATGTCATGAAAGAGTTCTTTGATGTTTGTTTAGTTGATTTTGTTTAGCGGCATATCAACCTCTATGGGTTATTTAATTCCAAAATGTAAATAATTTTATGGCTTCAATTAAATATATATTGCATGCCTTCAACAATAGATAAAGTGTATTGTTGGTCATATAGCTTTAAAAATATATTGTTGCTAATTTTACTATAAATAGGTATTGCTAATTTGTTTTTGTTTTTTACATAAAATGTATTGCTGCTATTTTTTACAATGAAAATATATTTTTTATACTTTCATAGGTTTCGTTTGGGGTTCCCTATTTGCCCATAGTTGGGAGAAGTGCTGGGACCCCGTTTCAGGTTGGACCTAGGAACAACAGCAATTAAGAGGTGATTCTACGCTCCTGAAAGCCTCCAATCTCCCGATCAGAGGTCTTGCTGCCGGATATGGTTTATCGTTAAACCCAAGACTGTATTAAAATTGGGAAAATATATTTAATAATTCACAAACTTCTCGCAATAACATAAAATATACCGTCATTTTTTTTTTACGACATGAGTACACTCGTTTTTACGCTGACAAAACTCGACTAAACCAGGAATTGTATCTACGTATTTGTGGTGATTTTATAAACGTAGCTTAGTTGTGGCACAAGGTTGAGCGCGTGGGGCACCCAGTGAGGATCGAACTCACTGGTCAGTTGTTATTGTTCTAGTACCCTATTGTTCGAAGTACCAAAATGATTTTCTAAGCGTAACTTACACGTGGCACAAGGCCGAAAGTATGGGGCACCCATTGAGGATCGAACTCGCTACCCAGTAGTTATTGTAGGGAGACAAGTGTGTTAGCCATTACACCGCGTAAATGATTTACTAAGTGATGCATAGTTGTGGCACAAGGCCGAAAGTATGAGGCACCCAGTGAGAATCGAACTCACTACTCCGTCGTAATTGTTCTAGCGAGACAAAATTGCTAACCATTACACTACGTCTAAGTCCCCCCCCTGTGTATGTATTTATGTCGTGTGTACTTTTTAATAGTAAAGTTCACACAATGCAAGGCTCGATAACCACTCAAGGTAGAGGGTTTCAGTTAACATAATACGAAAGAAAGAATAGGTGGTAGATGAAGTGAAGATTATGGGAATAAGGAGGGTATATAATGATTGACCTTTGACGTGAAAAAGTCTGTTCCACAAAGTGGCAGTCTTTTAGAAAAGATCCTTCTGTAACTATCTCCTTACATTTAGAATACGGGGTTAATGAGGAAGCTTCGGCTGTGTGGATATAACATGGCATGTCCTAGCTGTAAATATATGAGCAGGTGATAAACAACTAATGTCAAATGGCCGCACAGAAACAAAAATCCAAGGGTGTGATGACTGGTGACCTCTGTGGTCAGTCAAGAGAACCTATTAAAAAACAAATTAGACATTTAAGACATGATTAATTAATTAACCCCTCATGGTGCGTGAATTTTGTCTCACCCTATATATATATATATATATATATATATATATATATATATATATATATATATATATACATATATGACGTCACACATTATGAAATGGACAAAGTCTGATAATTATTTTAAGATTTTTTATGAGATATTGTTCTTTTATAGATACAAATATTTAATTAAATGCTCTGTTTATAATAAAACAGTATTAAATAACATTTATTGGTTTGAATGTCCGAGAAATTTTCATAGAAATTTCTCGGACATTTAGGCATTCTCCGAATTAACTTAAATATTTGTGTCTATAAAAAGAATGTATAAACATAAAATGTCTTAATATATATATATATATATATATATATATATATATATATGAGTACTACTTGAGGTCTGGGGTGAAATTTAGTCTGAAGAGATGTTCAAAGTTTGAAACTTCATATGTTTGCATTTGTGTGTGATGAACGGATGATTCGGAAATTGTTTAATGACTATTATACGTGAGTTTATATTTAATGATAACAAAAATGGAGGCTTTCATGTCGGGTGAATTTTTGTGACGATATTTTTTTTACTCAATGTGTGTAAAGATGTAAACATCATATGAAGGGCTACAACATTGCAAAGCATGTAGTTTTTAATATCAAATATCGTTGTCTATATTTCTGAGATGAGGTATTGTAACAATTTACACTATTTACAATGTTCAGACTGTTGTCCCCGTCTTTATTGTCATATTCACGACGTTTCGGCCGCTGTACGCTCCGCCCTTGTTCAGGTGATAACCATGACCATATATGGAGAGAAAAAGTAGATCACCGTCCTCTGTGTGATGAAGTTGAAATAAAACAGACACCATCACTTAAGAAAACTTAAGGAATCAGCATGAATACAATATGGAAACCATTCATACAGAGAGCTAGAGAAAAACAGTAACAAAAACTGTCATATGAGCTCTGGTAAAAAATGATACCGAGACATTAGGTTTATAAGTCCCCAAAATTCATACACTGATATCTCCAAGGACACATGGCCCAGTGGATAAAAACTTTGTTTGAAGTAATCCATTGACTTCACCCAAAAGACTTGTGAGTTCACAGCAGAGGTTATCAAAAACTTAGAGAGTTGAGTTACTAGAAGAAATTAATTGAAATTGGGATATCCAAAAAGGTATGGCAAGTGGAACTAGAATAATCTACCTCTGTGGACTAAATAAATAGTTAGGTTCGAAATTCCATGGTGTATCACCTAATGAAGGCTGGAGCTTACAACGGCCGAAATGTCGTGAATATAACAATAAAGATGAGGACAACAGCCCGAACAATGTAAATAGTGTAAATAGTTACAATGCCTCATCTCAGAAATAGAGACAGATGTTGAAGGTGAATATGACAATAAAGATGAGGACAACAGTCCGAACAATGTAAATAGTGTAAATAGTTACAATACCTCATCTCAGAAATAGAGGCAGATGTTGAAGATGAATATGACAATAAAGATGAGGACAACAGTCCGAACAATGTAAATAGTGTAAATAGTTACAATACCTCATCTCGGAAATAGAGACAGATGTTGAAGGTGAATATGGCAATAAAGATGAGGACAACAGTCCGAACAATGTAAATAGTGTAAATAGTTACAATACCTCATCTCAGAAATAGAGGCAGATGTTGAAGATGAATATGACAATAAAGATGAGGACAACAGTCCGAACAATGTAAATAGTGTAAATAGTTACAATACCTCATCTCGGAAATAGAGACAGATGTTGAAGGTGAATATGTCAATAAAGATGAGGACAACAGTCCGAACAATGTAAATAGTGTAAATAGTTATAATAATTTCATCTCAGAAATAGAGGCAGATGTTGAAGGTGAATATGACAATAAAGATGAGGACAACAGTCCGAACAATGTAAATAGTGTAAATAGTTAGAATACCTCATCTCAGAAATAGAGACAGATGTTGAAGGTGAATATGGCAATAAAGATGAGGACAATGTAAATAGTGTAAACATCTTACCAGATGTGAAATAATGTTTAACACTTTCACTATTTCACTTGACTAATTCTTTGGCTTTCGTAATTGTGGCGTACAAGTCGAGTTTTAAAGCTACCTGAACTAGAGATCGACTTATACGGTGGATATAAAACGCAAGCCTTTACCACCGAGTTGTAAACAAGTGGGATAGCAATCCTAACAATTACTGTACACCGTGGCAGGCAACCACAGATGTATCCCATTAAAACTTGTGTTTGGTGAACATATTTGGCATATTAACACAGAAATCAAGATAAAATAATAAAATTGTAACACAAATTCATTATTCTATTAACACCACAACACACATCGCGTCAAACACCTGATACACTAAGTGTGATTGTAATGTAAGCGTCATTTGCTGTCTGCTTACATCACTGGTGCAAATAGCGGAAGAGTCATACTGTGTTTTACAATAACATTTTTTACAGTAAGTTTCACCCTGTATAAGGCTCGCGGGCCACTCGAGGTAGAGAGTTACATTAAGAGACAGTTTATGTGGATAGGAGAGGAAGATAACGGTTAGCCCTAGATTTAAGATTGTAGTGATCGAGGAAACATCCTCTTGGGAGTTGGTTCCATAGAGCAGGGGTTCGTGGGAAGAAGCTGTTCGATTGGAACTTACTTTTCAACAATGGAACACGGAGGGAATGTCGGTGGTTTGTTATAATGTGAGTGGTATGACGAATCCTAGCCGTGAAGGTTTAGAACTAGCGGAACGAAAGAATGTATTTCTCCCGGGCACTTTCCATGGAAGTAGCAATAGAACATTGCTAGGCTCACCACATACCGTCTGCGAGAGGGAGGCTGGCGGGTAGAAATACATACAATACGTAGCAGTACTATCATCGAACGACCTGGTGTGATGTGTAATCTACGGTATTAATATTTTATAGGAGCTGATTTTGACGTCAATGTGTTTACCAGTGGACCTGACGAATTTTAAATGTTCGCTCAATTAGAACGATACAATATACGGTATCTACCCGTGTGTGTTGTAGGTTGTTTGATATACAATTCATATAGAAAGATATTGCTGTTAGTGTCTCAATATACGGGTAAGTTGTGTGATCTTGTTTGGTAGTTTTGATACAGGTTATCACATATTTTAGCCTAACCTCATTTACCGGTAAGCGTAAGTTTTGGGCCACTGGTAGCCTAACGTATGTTTGAGAGTCGACTTATACGGTACGTATAGTTCTAACACAGACTATTGAGCTAAAATCTTCAGGTCGAGCTCTACGCCAGGTCGACTTGTATGCCGCATTTCAATATACGGCTCGTGGCATTATAAAGGTGTATATAAATAGGGACGGTGTTGAATTCTTTGCCCAGCTCGCAAAACAATATTCAGTTTTAAATCTCTGTAGGCTTAAATGATTCCGTGTTGCTGCTGCCGTATTTAGTTAGTTTATATTTTGTTCTATTCATTTCACGTGATTGAAAACACAGACTTCTGCGCATCTGTCGACTTTGGGATTAAGCCGTTGGGGGTTTCCTTTGCACTGGCAATTTTTTTTTCGGGGTCGGTTTTCTGAAAGGCAGGCGGAGGTATAGACCGATAAAGCTTCTGCCAGAATAGGGGATCGTCTTGAAAAATAATCACGTGTGTCGACACAAAAGCCCTGGTCTCCGGATCCAGTGTATTCAGGTCAACGTTTGGAGCTATCATACAGAGTAAGTAATTGGATGTCTGCTTTAAAGAACGCTCGATAGCCGTTCTCAGTGTAAACAATTGCCACTCGTCGTCTACATGGTTTTCCGTTACGATGACTAAAGTCCTTCTCGATAGTTCTATGGCATTCAGAATATTCTCTTCTTTGGCAGTTCCGACCATGAAGTCTCGGTCGGGAAGACAAACCACATAACCGCGTGCGTGAAGTGCTGGATAGAGGACGCCTGTGGCGAACTGATAGTCACGGTCCGGATAGCTGATAAAGATGTCATAGCAGACGCAGTTCGGTGGGGACGGCGTATGCATGATTTCAGGAAAAAATATCTTGTAGGATTTTTTACGGCGAAGTTCCATATTTTGGGCTTTAGCATCATTGGAACCTGTCAGCATGTAAAGCATTTTTTGCTTCAGCATCGTATCTCTGGTACGGATAAAACGACCACTGCTGAGGTACTTCTTCAGGTCCTGGTTTTCGATGACGCATTTCTTGACGTTGTGCAAGAACAGTACCATATACATAGGCCGCTCCCTCAAAACCTTTTCATGGGTAAACGTCAGCGCCAGTTGGACGATGGGGTCTTTGAAACTGTCTACCGATAAAATAACAATGCTACGCTTGCTTCGACACACCGCCATTCTCATGTTTTCACGGATGCTCATACCGACCAGGAAGTCTCGATTGATATCGAGTACATTAAATCGAAGAGACTCGAGCGTATCCGTGACATTAGCTGTTACCCATTCGATCATCGATTTCGAACAAACAACTAGCGTGTCGATCGGTTCCTTTTCGTCGTCTATCTTTTGCGGGTCACAGTCCAAAGGATGTAAGTTGAAATAGATATATATCAACACTTTAACTTCCAGTCTGTAATAGAAAAGCAGGTAAAGACAGACTAATATGAAGAGAATCGCGAATCCGAGCGAAAGGCCAAGAGCTAAGGTCTTCCTAAAGTCCGCCGCTTCGATACAAACGAAGTCTTCATCAGCCACCTTTACAACACTAAATACTTTATCTTCGCTAGTGCTGCAGGCGATTTTATACCAGTCATGGACCCTGCTTTGAACGGTCAGTAACCAATATTTCATCCACTGGTTCTGACAATCGCACACAAAATGATTCGTGTTGATGACCAGCAGCTCAAAATTGACCTCTTGAATTTCTCTCGGCAAGGTCGTCAGAAGGTTTTCGTCAAACCACAATTTCTTGATACCTCTCATTTGCTTCAAAACCGGGACGCTCAAGCTGGATATAGAATTCTTTGTCATTTTCAAGATTTTGATCCGTGGTAGATAGCTTCTTGATGCCAGTTCACTAATGTTGTTGTACTGCAGCCATATTTCGAGGTTCCCGTCGGGCATTTCGCCCGGAAAGGAGTTAAAATTGCTGTGTGAGCAGTTCACAATGATGACCCGATTGGTGTAACGCCGATAGCAAATGCAGCCTGTTGGACACCCCCGAATTTCATCACGGCAAAATAAATCGGTTTTCTTTAACGATAGCAGAGGACGGCCCTGGAATTCGGGAGGCCAGTGGCACAACCATTTCTTATAAAAGTATTCGGTTCCGTCGAAACGTTTGTCCAAGCGAGCCTTTGCAAAGAAGTTAAGAAGGGAGACTAGATGACAATCGCAGTCAATTGGGTTACCCTTCAAAATTAACTCGTAGTTATTGAGAATCAAAATCATTTTTTTCTCGTGGATTTTAAAGAAACCTCTGAAGTCCAGTCGACGGATAAGATTGTTAGACAAGTTAATCTTTCTTTTTTTCTGTCTTTTTGCGTACAAGTCAATATTTGCATTACTAGCAGAGACTATAATGCTATCAATGAAATCCGTTTCCGGGATCGAATCCAGAAATACGCTCATCCTGTCGATGCTGATTTGACAATGGCTGAAATCGACCATCTCCAGTCCACGGAGCAAAAAAAATAACATTGGCAAAATTTGAAATTTGTTATGACTCAGATTGACCACTCGGAGATTGACAAAGGAAAATTGCAGAACATTTTGGTCAAATTTACTTATGCCGTTGTTTTCAAGTCTCAGTGTTCGGAGCGAGGTCAAAGGGTAAAACGTTCGTGGTTCTATCACTGTTAGATTATTGGACGACAAATCCAACTCGTTTAATCTGGAGAGCTGGCGAAACGCTTGTCCGTGTATCCACTCGATTTTGTTCTGTCCTAACTGAAGCTTCAGTAGATCCTTACACGGGCTAAATATTTTATCATTAATAGAAACAAGAGAATTGTTTTTGAGAGATAACGACTGTAGGCCGATAACTTGATCGAATGCGTGGTCCGAGATATTTCTCAGTCTGTTATTATTTATTGAAATTAACTGGAGCGTGCCGTTTATAATATAATCACCCAGGTATTGAATGAAATTGTTGTTGAGTTGCAGAATTCGGCGGAATATATCTGTTCTAATGATAATGCCGATCGAATTCGCATAATGGTTCTGCATGTTTGGCGTCCGGCTGAGATCTAAAGGGAGAAAACTCGGCTTTTCGGTGTAAGGGAAAAACGGCACCTGTGTAAATCTGTTCCAGTCGAGACTGATCGATTGCAAATTGGGGAAACGCGCGCTCATATCCGGCGGAAGTTCGGTCAGCCCGAGTCCCGTGAAACTCAGTTCGCTGATATTGGGGAAAGTCGAGTTCGTTTCTAATATCCACGGTACTTGATCTGAATACTGCTCGGTTTTTATTGTGTAAGAGACGACCTCTTTAATACTGCTCTCGTTACTGGCCCCCGAATTATTTCCAATCCACGACTGACTGCTCGGAACAGATTTGAGAAAACTCAATACTTTCAGGTCGTACAAGCGTTCAAATTTCGAGATTTCGATGTTGTCCATGAGGCACCTTTCAACTTGTAAATAGGCAATGTTCTCTGACAGGGTGGTTACATTCTCCATGTCCAAGATAACTGGGTGTGGGTTCATGCAGAGAAAATAGTAAATTAAAAGTTGTCTGCCAACAGGCTTAAATATGTAATTACTCATTCGCATGACGCAGCTGGTTTCTGTTGATGATTTTATGATGAAGGCTCGTGATTTAGTAGGCAGGTCTTTACCGTTCATCTGGAAGAGTTTTACTTCGGTCATTGGATTCAGTTCAAAACGGCATTCCGGCACTTCTGTGGTCTTCTTTTGGGAAGACACATCGCCGATGGCCGAGAAGAGGACAGCGCACACGAACAGGAAATGACTGGTGAGCATATTACTTTTCGGCCCCCAACGATACCTGAAAGAATAAAACAAAATTAAGGTTAGACCCTCTTTCTCAAAAAAAGTTGGGGTAATTACTCCCCAAATGTGTTATTTGAAGGTAATAGCGGCAACAAAAAGGTGGTTCTACAGGAAGATATTCAGAATTCCATGAATGGTTGGTTGATTTTGTTTAGCGGCATATCAACCGCTATGGGTTATTTAATGCCGAAATCTACATACTTTGAACAAAATTGCTTCAACGAAATATATTTTGAACGCAAGTGTGATAAAATATATTGTTGGTCATTTTGCTTTAAATACGTATTGTTGGTACATTTATTATAAATAGGTATTGTTGGTTGCTTGATTTTGGTTTATCAGTTTCTATGGGTTATAAATCTAAATATCTCGCACTCAGTTTTATGCTTTCAACTACAAATATCTTGTCCATAATTTTATACTCTCAGGGAAAAGCCATGTTTTTTTTACATATTTTTCTGACGTACGGTGGCCGTTAATAATTAAGTATAACGCAAGACTTTAATGTTAAATAAAACAGTATTTAATTACAACCGCAAATAAATACTTAACAAGAACAAAGAAGTAAAAGTCAACCAAATATAATTAACCATTTCACTGAAGAACTTGTTAGTAGCGCGGCTCGGCTTAATGTCCGGCAAATCCTAAATCAAAACACAAATCATCGACGCACAATAATTCACACTAATTCGACTGGATAGTTCCACTCAATAATCACTGCAGTCAGTAGCCTGACACCACTATTTATACATCTGGCGGAAAACATATGTTCATAAGTCCAGAGTGTCACGCTCGAACCTCGGTGTCAGTATTTACTCATTTTCTTCCCATATGATATATATAGTTTGTAGATCATAAAATGTATTGTTGGTAATTTTACTATAAAAATGTATATTTATATATATATATTTTTTAGTGTCGCATTGATCGTCACTCTGTTATAAAAATGCCATTGGGTCATTTTATTATAAAATGTACCGTTGGTTTTTGTTTGGAGGTTCACAATTTGCCCATAACAAGTGCTCCCACCCTGAGTCAGGGTAGACCTGGGAACCACCACAGTTAAGAATCTACCCGATCAGAGGCCTTGCTGCTGGATGAAGTTTATCGTCATACCCAGGAGCGCAAAATCAACGAACAACGAGAAAAATGGAACAAAAAGGATGCTTATTTTCGGTGGTACCGTATGATTGTGAAATCTGCGCACTTGAAAGCCGCCGATGTGAATAACCTGGTTTCTATTGAGACAACGTAAAGCAGGCGGCCACTGCGCGTGAGCTGGATGGACCAAAACGGACAGTTATAATCAAAACAAGGCGGCTGAAATTAATTGGATTGGATACATAATGTGTAAGCAGGGCTTTGAATCTACCTCTCCCCATCCCCGCCTTCTGCGTGGTAAGCAGGGCTTTAAATCTACCTCTCCCCATCCCCGCCTTCTGCGTGGTAAGCAGGGCTTTGAATCTACCTCTCCCCAACCCCTACTTGCTACGTGGTAAGGAGGTCTTTGAATCTACCTCTCCTCACGCCCACCTGCTACGTGGTAAAGAGAGCTTTGAATCTACCTCTCCACACACCCCGCCTTCTGCGTGGTAAGCAGGGCTTTGAATCTACCTCTCCCCAACCCCTACCTGTTACGTAGTAAGGAGGGCTTTGAATCTATCTCTCCACACACCCCACCTGCTACGTGATAATTAGTAAAACATATCACAAAACCATTATTATTTCAAATCTAAAAATATTTTCTGGCTTTAAATAACCTGCAAAGGGTTGATAAACCGTAGAATACGGATCAATCAATGAATAGCACTTAGTTTCCTTATCACCATTCACTTATACACAAATACCCTTAGAATCCGTCTCTCCACCGCCTAGCTATGGGTTAAATAGTAGGATTTGTATTTGGACAGAACATTGTTATTTCAAAAAAATATTCACTCGCAAAACCAAAAACATAAAGAATTATTCTTAAAATCAAAATATGTTAACGGCTTAATATAATCCACGAATGGTTGATCAGGTCAAAAAAAAATAGACCAATCTATCCTTAACATAGAAACTCTAGTCAGGCCGGTGGCACTGTATAGCTGCGAAAACTGGACACTAACACAGTTAACAAGTGCTGTCTTTCGAGAAAACCTGCGACGGGCAGGTAGTGTGCATTGGCTGAACAGACTATAGAACAGAATGCAAAACGAGCCGGTTCTGGGCGAGATGGTAACAGAGAGGCAGTTAGTCGCGATCATAAGGGAGTGAAAACTGCAATACTTTGGTCATGTGATCAAGGCCTAGAGTCTGTGCAACGACACCCTAGAGGGACAGCATCGATGGCAGGAGACAGAGGGGAAGAGGCTGGAGAACGCTGGCGGAGTGCACGATCGTGGCGAGAGGTGGATTAGAGAATGAGATATGGAGAAAAGGAAGAAAGACAGAGTGGAGAGCAGTGGTGCAATCCATGGTCCCCGAAGCTCAGTTATGAGGGTGGGGCAAAATAGGTCATCATTTTGCTGTTGAAATTGCTGTATGTAACCGTAAGTCCTATTTTAGCAGTTTCTTCTTTTACACTTCTCGCTTTGCTAACAACTGCGATTTTCAAAGATTTAAATGCAGCGCCCGTTTCATTGAATCCTGTTCTACTAATAACAATACTAATAATTGGAGGGACTACTAATAACAATACAAATCCTTGGACGGACTACTAATAACAATATTAATACTTGGAGGGACTACTAATAACAATACTAATAACTGGAGGGACTACTAATAACAATACTAATACTTGGAGGGACTGCTAATAACAATATTAATAATTGGAGGCACTACTAATAACAATACTAATACTTGGAGGGACTACTAATAACAATACTAATAATTAGAGGGACTACTAATAACAATACTAATAACTGGAGGGACTACTAATAACAATACTAATACTTGGAGGCACTACTAATAACAATACTAATACTTGGAGGCACTACTAATAACAATACTAATACTTGGAGGGACTACTAATAACAATATTAATATTTTTTACTCTGAGTGACTTCTAAGCTTTTAATAGTTTTATCGTCGTGTTTAGGGCGAAATAAGGAGAAAAAGAAAGTTAATCATGTCAGCACTTGTAGTTATACACAAGAGTAAAGACATGACACAGATAGGTAAATTTCTACACCAGCTACATAAGGCACAAAAATCAAAGATTAATTATGCAATAGACACCAAAAGTACAGGGGGCGGCCGAAATACCTCCCACATACGAGGTATGATAAAAATAAAAAGTATCAGGACTGTTGCTATGGTAACAGAACTAAAGTACGCAGAGAGAAGCCTATTGGCATAGATTGACCTTGAACTCTGTCGCGCATGCACACTAAGTTATAACGTTCTCTCTTACTTTCGTTGTTTAAAAGCAGTGGTTGGAAAGAAAATGTGTAGAGTGTGGTCGTCTCACCATACCACAGAGTTTCCATCAGAAACCCATGCATTGTGCAGCATTTTTTTGATCAAGTACAATATTCCCTAGGTTCGACAACCACCAAATTCCCCAAATCTTATCCTTTGCGACTTTTAACACTCCAAAAATCAAATCCAACTTGAAAGGAAGCAGATTTCAAGATGTCCAAGAAATCCAAGAGAATGCAACAAGGCAGCAGCTCGCTATCCCCCAAAAAAGGACTTGCAGGAATGCTTCCATCCCAAGAAAGGACTTACAGGAATGCTTCCATCAATGGAAACGATGCCGGATAAAGTGTATGGACTCCTTCGAAAAAGATTAAATGTCAAATTGATGTGTTGCAGTTTTATTTTTATAGCACTTTCGAATCAGACTTCGTATATCTCCCCAAAATACTTCCCATATAATTATAAGGCATTAGCTAGATAAAGACATCACTGTCACTAATGTCATACCATTATGTGGGAGGTATTTCTGACATGTATATGTGGGAGGTATTTCTGACATGTATATGTGGGAGGTATTTTTGGGATGCATATGTGGGAGGTATTTTTGGGATGCATATGTGGGAGGTATTTTTGGGATGCATATGTGGGAGGTATTTCTGGGGTGTATATGTGAGATGCATTTCTGGAATGTTTACGTGGGAGATATTTCTGACATGTATATGTGGGAGGTATTTCTGGGATGTATATGTACCGCTCCCTGTATTATCCAGAAACTCGAAGTTGTATCACTACAGCGAAATATGCTTTTCACAAGTTGAGAAAGGAATTAAAAAAATATCTTTGAAAATAAGAAAAGGGGTTTGGACAGTGAATGCTTGACAATTTCGTCCCAAATGAAAAAGAGCCCTGAAGCAATAGAAATGGTTCTGCAAAAGAATGGTGAAATTTTGCGATTTAACAGTCACAGGATATATTCAATGCAAACGAAACAAAGGAGTTTTACTTACTCGATAAATTTTCGTAAATAAATAAAGGAACAATTTTAGTTTGGATCAAATACTGAGCAAATATGGATCGGAATCCGACAGAATGAGAGGATAAAGAACAAATAGGAAACGTTTATCAATCTAACATGTTTCACTTTCATTACGGCTTCATTAGAGAATGAGATATGGAGAAAAGGAAGAAAGAAATTCAGCTATTTTTACATTTGTGTTGTTTGATTTTCAATAGTTAATCAGGTTTCACGTGCATTCGAATTGTTAAACAAACGTTAGTATAATTTATGGCGTTCCAAATTTAAGAAGAGACAACACGTACATTCGAAGTTCCAAGAAATTAACAGATTCCAAGGCTATGTCTATGTGGGACGCAGATGTTAATGTATATTCGTAAGTGCGTGTGTTTAGTTTTATTAGTAGTAGTAATAGTAGTATTAGACATTACGCTGGTTTTTCGCATGTTGGGAACGTTTTTACATACACACTGTTTGTTTTAGATAAGCTGACGTTAGATAAATAAAAGTTGGTGATATAATATAATATCTTTGACGTGTATTTATAGTTGGTAATATTGTTATTAGTAGTCCTTCCAAGTATTATTATCCCTCCAACTAATTACGACGTAAAGAATTATGTTCTTTTCATAATTAGGCTGACATTTGTAAAATTAAAGTTATGGCCAGTTTTGTTCATGTGTATTACAAGAGAGTTTGAACGTTAAACGTAAATCTCCCCGTAGATATTGTCTTTTGATATACGGCCGTCATTACTTCGACGTATGTTTACGAGCCATCGAAGACGACGCTGACAAAAGAGAAGATGCATGCTCCAGGGGTCTGCATATATGTCAACTGTAACATTCAAAACGTTGCTTTAATTTCAATTTCAAATTTCTAGTGTCCGTTACTTTGGGCGGGCTTTTCGCCTGAGACAATATTTTATAGCTTACCTAATTGTTTAGGATAATCTGAAATAATCTGGATTCTTTCGAAGCCTTGTGCGACGTCCCTCTCTACACAGCCTTCGCTCGCTCCTCGCTGCTTCGTTCGGGTGTCGCCGCTCCAAACGTGACGTCCGCCTGTCTGCGTCAGTCGTGCTGTCTCGTCCTGTGACGACCAACTGGCTTGGTATCGGTCGCAGCACCCAAATGTGACGTTCTAACCTTTTGGTGATTCGGATGGGAATCTGGTCAGATCCGATATCAGCCTCGTCGTTCCCAACTCGCTTCTAACGTCTGGTTACCAAAGTAACTGCGTTGATCTCCAGTCCGCCTACCCACGTTGTGAATTGATCTTAGGCAGACGAAATCAATCAGTCGTTGGGGCCGTAATGCAAATTGAGTTCAAACGAGGGTGGTATCGCACAAATATGCATAAAATAAAATAAAATGATAACTCAAAAGTTCAAGGTATCAAAAAAAAAGGATAACAATACTTTATATCTGGTTGCTGGATACATAGGACTGCGTCTATCTCCCGACCCGCTATATGGCTTGTGACACGTTGTTTTTGTTAGGTGAGTTTTAACATCTTAAGTTGTCTGTTCTTTAAGAAATTGGTTCTTGGTGTGTCTTCAGGCGATAGTCGAAAAACTTATTTTGGTGGTATGGATCTAAGTCGCTCTTCAAAATAAATTGTTCTTGGATTTAAGATGAATTCGGAAGTTGCGCGAATCTTAGTCAGCTGATGCGAGGCCTGCTTCAACTGAGCACTCTGGATTGAACTCCTCTAAACTGAACTCAACTGAACTGAACTCAACTGAACTGAACTCATTTTTTGCTCGCTGCGACTTTGCTTATATGGACGCCGACCAAAACCGGGGTGGCTTTGTCGGGGTTGGAGGTTCCTCAATAATTCTAAATCCATATCCACTTCTTTTATTTTTGGTTAGGAATTTTCCACTCCTTTCCATTTTTGGAAGTCTTCTATTACTCCCACCTTCTCTTATTCTCCTATGGATATCTCACCATACTTCAGAGGGGCGTCAACGGTTCCCCCCACTTCTTCGTAGCAACTTTTCATACCTATCCTCTAAATGGGCGGCGGCGGCTTCCCTCCTTGCGTCACGTGATCACCGCCGCCTGGCCCTCGTTATTATTCGGCCAATAGCGTCCAGCCGGGTGGGTGTGATCCGACTGGCTTTGTTTTAGGAAAAAAAAATATATATCTTGCTCAAAAAAAAAATTATCTTTTTCTTTTCCTTTTCTTTCCTTAATCGCAGCTCTCATCCCCCAATGTCACCTGGGATCTATCAATGCCATTATCAAGTGGGGTAGTCGTCTAGCGAAACACAGTCGACTGTCGTCTCGAAAAAACAGTTCCAATGTCCTAGCCGTATTTGCATTCTTGGTGCCAATTTCTGATAACATAGTTTTATTATCACAACCGAATTCTAACACCCATAGATGTCTTGTCAAAACGGCCAAGACGTGACCCAGGGTTGGCTTCGTGTGCGGTTAGCAGACGACCTATTAAATCCTTTCCCGACAATATTGTTTGCCCCCTCTGACACAGTTAATTTTTCTTATCTATCCAAAGCTCTGTATTCACCTGTTCTTTGTCAGACAGTTCTACCACAGTGATGGTCAAAATTTTCACCATCTTTTCCATTATCAAAATAACATTGTCGAATTGCCTCGGAGTTTTAGCTAGGCGGCCTGTGGTTTGTTAATTAGATGTTCGCCAGCATTAAGTGGCTGTTATCTATCCCCGATAACACAAGTCCGCCACCAGAACATAGTCGATTTTCTTCTCCATTTAGAATTTTTCTGCAATGGTAATGAAACCTTTCACCATTTCCTACTTATCAAAATAACATTGTCAATGTCCCCGGTCGTGGGTGGCTTCTTTTATCATCTAAGCTTAAGTCTCGCCTCTCTTTTCCTTTCTTTTCTTTCTCTTTTCCCTTAATATTTTTTTTCTTTTTTTTTTCGTGCCCTTAAATGGTGTCACACTTGTTGTTGCATCTCCATTGCAATGTAGCCGCTGAACACTTAATATGTGTGAAGTAGTAGTAGTAGTAGTAAGCATTCATTTATCTCGCGAGATAATGGTA